AGATGTTGTTATCATTTTGGCTGTGTACTTTATAATTGTGTTCTTTAAGTTTTTATTGTTTAGTAGTGTAGGTTTCCAGTGGTGTAGTAGCAACGTTGCAAGTGTAGACAGTGCCCTCTAGTGGCGTCATATGATATGGGGTATATTCTAGATGTATAAGAATATAAGTCGCAGGACCATCCAAACTACTGACAACTTAAAGTCTGACATTAGTATTGTAACTAATTAGTTGAGTAGTCACATCTACTGCACATACTGCAGTACACCATACTACATTATTTTCAAGAGTAAAACAGTCACTTGTCTTGACACATGAGGATATCTGTACAAAATACAAGTTCAGAAACCTATCAATGACGGAGACAAAAAAACCAAGAAGAAAAAACGTCCAGTATCATCCTTCTTCATCTTCATCCGTCTCCGTCTCTGTCCTCGCTACCAGGCTCTAGAGCTGCAGATCAAGAAGCAGTTCCAGGACACGTGCAAGGTGCAGACCAAGCAGTACAAGGCCCTGCGCCACCACCAGATGGAAGTGACGCCCAAGGCCGAGCACAAGACGGTGCTCAAGGCCCTGAAGGACGAACAGACACGCAAGCTGGCCATCCTGGCCGAGCAGTACGAGCAGAGCATCAACGAGATGATGGCCTCGCAAGCGGTAAGCTGAGATCACACGAGAACCGTTACCCAACAATTCAGTCAATACACGAATCAATGAAAAAATTCAACTACTTTCATGCAAATAACCAAAACGATTTAGTTTAGTGGCATTAACTTATGTTAATGCATACGGAGCGACATGTCCCCGTTAGTATCAGAAGACAAACACAGTAACCACACTTCTGCATCATGTGTTCACAAATAAAATATGGCATATTTAATTAATATTTAATATACATACATACATATATGAATGTGTATATATATACATATATGCGTATATATACATACATATTTGTATGTATATATATATATATTTATACACATATATGTATATATAAAGTATGTATATATACTGTATATATATTTTTTTAACTTTAAATATGCAGTAATAAGAGAAATATGACATCACACCACCTGATTTCAAGGTTTATTTATTATCGTTATATTCAATTAAATTTAAAAAAAAAACTTTTGATTTATCAGGTTAAGAAACTCTGCTGCTACGGGTCACACAAAATGACTTGGCGGGCCACATTTGGTCCCCGGGCCTTGAGTTTGACACGTGATTTAGAGAATAACGAGTTTCAATCAACCAATGACACAGACCTTAAAGTGTTTAAATTTATTCTTATTTGTGTTGCCTCCTCATGTCTGTCCCTCCTCTGTCCCATCTCCTTTTCCCACCCTGTCTGTCCTGTCTCCCTGTGTTCTTCCATGTTCCTCCTCTCTCCTCTCCCCCCTTCGTCCCCCCTGTCTCATTGTGCCTCTCCTCCACCTCTGCCTCTTTGTGCCTCTCCTTCACCCCTGCCTCTTTGTACCTCTCCTCCACCCCTGCCGTGGTCCACGGTGGCCCATGTTAGCTGCGTCTGGATGAGGCCCAGGAAGCCGAGTGCCAGGCCCTGAGGCAGCAGCTGCAGCAGGAGATGGAGCTGCTCAACGCCTACCAGAGCAAGATCAAGATGCAAACGGAGACGCAGCACGAGAGGGAGCAGCAGAAGCTGGAGCAGAAGGTGGTGCTGCGGCGGTCTCACCTTGAACAAAAGGTGTGTTGGATCAGGGTCTCAGGTGGTCCCTCAGACCACAGCTCTGCGGGAGATCTGTAGTAAAACTATTGGCGACATATAGTGGTGGGAAAAACGTGATGGGAATAAATATTCCTCTCAGGTGGGTTCACACCTCCATGTGAAGTTGTTGTGAACCCGACACACACACACATACAGGTCGTACTGTTGTAGTGATGACAAAGTATGATTCAAATTATAACTAAAAAAAATGTTTCTCATATCGACAATGTTTGTCAAATCGGTGAAGACGTGAAAAACCTGCTGATAACATTTTATTATTTTACTCGTAATTTTGCAAAATGTTTCACCTGTTTTACAGGATACGGTTTATCTTAGCTAATATTAATCACATTCATGTGTGAATATTGATCAGATTAAAAATTTGGACACATTTTAACGTGGGCAAATGAGCAAAATGGCAATGATTAATCATGAGAAATCATTGTTTTAATATTTGCAAAAATAATTATAATTTTTTTTCACAGACAGTGTTCATCACAGATAATAATAATAATAAAATTAATAATAATAAAAATAATAATAATAATAATAACAATAATAATAATAATAATAATAATAATAATAATAATAATAATAATTCACATGCACGTGCTGTAATTCCAACCTCCCACAGAGTTGGACACAGTAACATGTGGTAAGAAACACTTTTCTTTAAAGGCCTTGAGAAAACAGTTTCAAACATACGTTTGTTGTCAGCTCAGCAGGCAACGTGGGCGCGTGAATCGGAACCAGACAGACATTCATGGCATCACATACACTCACACACACACACACACACACACATACACATACATTTCCCTCACCACAGGTGGTGATGAGAGTGGTATGTCTTCCTGCAGAGAACAGGCAACCATGCCTGTACCACTCTCTCTCTCTCTCTCTCTCTCTCTCTCTCTCTCTCTCATTCACACACACACACACACACACACTGACGGTGGAGAATTCTCCACAACACAATGCTTTCCTATTTTTCTGTGTGAATGAACGCAGATTACGTCATAGTTCAAAGTTTGAAAGGCCATTTTATTGTTTCTATATTATTTCATTTTAATAAGTACTTTTGATGATTTACCCCAGTACACATTTAACTCTTGAGTTTGATAAGCCCGTCGGTGCAGAAGAGCCGAGTTCGTTTCCTTCTCAAGACGCCGACGTCACCGCCTCAGTCTAGTAGACGGCTACACTGACAACAAAGACACATTTGAAATGCCACTGAGTCTGCAGGCTTTTGACGTAGTTTGTCGCCATCTCCTGGCCGCTCGTGGTGTCATGGTTTTTAGAAGAACTATTGTCCTCTGGTTCGGTTCACGGTCAGAGTCTGGGAGTCTTCTGTGCATGCTCAGTGGAGTACTGCGTCAACACTGGAGTGCTTTGTCTGCACCTTTGGATGTGTGTGTGTGCGTGTGTGTGTGCACAGCCGAAGGATCTGACACAAAACCACCAACCGACACCAAAACCAGCATCTGCAGAAAGTCTGGGCTGCAGACATGACAAACAGAGCCATCGCTGGTTCAAATCCTAAATCGCTGTATGGTCGTCAAAAAACAAACTGTCTTTGATTAAAATATATTTACATAAAGCTAGCGGTGGGACGTCATCAAACTGCACTTCTATTAAAGATATTTTAATCACGATATTAATCACAATTAATGTTTCTAGTTAATCAATTATTCACGACTATTTAAGATAAATCAGCATATTATAAATATATCATTTTTATTCGTGACTTATCAATTATGGGGTTATTAATATGGAAAAATGTGAATTAAAATATGCTAAGTAGGGATGTCGGATATAAACTTTTTGCCGATATCATCCAAACACTTAATTTCTGATATCAACAGATATAGGCCTGCTAATATTTATTTATCTGTACAAACCACTATATGAGTATGAGGTTAAATGAGCTGCAATGCTGCCATCTAGTGACCTTTGCTTTAGTATACAGCCATTTTTCCCCAAAACAATTTTTAGGGCACACATCAATTGGCGTAACCCAGGCATTGTGTTATCATCATTATCGGAGGACAAACCGATAACGATTCTTACAGATATTACATAATACATATGCTAATATCGGGTATATCCGATATTATCGGACATCCCCATTTCATAGATAGTCTCACTTACTCACTGTTTTGCGCCACCTAATGACCTGGAGTGTTGGTAAAACAAACTAAACCTCACAACAGTTCAACTTTTTCACCTTTATCTTGGGTCCTTGTGCTTCTTACAGATTGAGGAGGAGCTGATTTCTCTTAAGATTGAGCGATCCGACCGCATCAATCACCAGCTGGAGCGCCAGGAGCGGGAAATCGACAACTTCGACATGGAGAGCACCACAATGGGCTTTCGTAACCTGCGCACCGTGGACCACTTTCCAAATGACGACTACAGATGAAGAGCTGCCAAACGTCACTGTCTGTCAACAACAAACACCGACGTCATCTGGGAGAACGCCGTGATCTACAGCAGATTCCAGAGCCTACAATCCCACCTCATATTGTCGTCCCCCTCCCACCCTTGTGACACTGACATTGACTCCCATGGTGTATATACATCGGTCAACTTCTTGTGGTTGTCACGTGTTTGTACGAGTAATGACACAAGTTGGTGTTCCATGTTTCTTGTGCGACATTTGAAAGACAAGAAAAGAGAAAACCCCGACAGAGGGACGAGCAAAAATCATTCCACAAACCTTCAAGGTTTAAAGAGGTGATTTAAATTTTTTTTTTTCCACGTTTTTTGATCTTCAGTGGTACAATGTCTCTTAAAGTGATTTAAGTGATTCTTTGGCACTGCTTCATGGCACATTTTGTGTTGCAGGACGTGACGTGTTGTGTTGCTTCATGTGTTGCAGGACTTCATGATGTTTTCAATTTGAATAAAAGATACTTTGACAGGCAACTACTCACAAATATCAAGAATACAATTGTAACAAATGTGATTACTTGATGGACAGGCTGATTTCTCTGCACTGGCAGCCAATGTGAATCAATAGTAATACATGTGAATTCCCAGCTAGCACAAAGGGCTTTACTG